CCTGCCCCTGCTGAGTTTTACAGAGAGTTAAGGTATAGCCATACAAGGGATCTTCTTTGTGTCCAGGCAGGACCTGTGGCTTCTGCCAGAGCTCGGGGCAGCCGCGTATCAAAACCCATCAAGGCTTTTGCATTGTGCTGATAACTCACGGTCATGGGGATCACTGGACTTCTTGGTTCACCAACCCCAGCTGCCGGCGCGTTGGTCCCAGCACAACATCTTCCCTGACGCAGCCCCAGTCACGTCCAGCCATCTCGTCATTGATTTCCCCACCCCCTGTATTGTATGTATGTATTTATTTATTTAACAATATGTTGGTCCAGCCATTAAAAGCAGAAAGCACTTTCTCCAATCGATTGAACTGCCCAGCGAACTTCAGTTAAGCGCTGCCCTCTGAGTCATCACCAGGGTCAATTTAGATTTATATTCATGCTGATGAATAGGCTGTGCCTCTAATCTAATGAAAACTTGATCAGCAAATTAAAACTCAGCTTGTTGAGGTTGTTGAGCACAGGTGAGTTATGGAGGGAAGCCTGCCTTCCCGGACCAGCTCAGCCTGCCGTTGGCGTCCTGCTCCCTCTAGGTATCTGCACGGAGTGTTGTTCTGCCCCAACACCTGGCAGGAAGAGGAGGAAAACAGGACGTGTATGGGCCAAAGAATCCTCCATTTAAAAGTCACCCCTTTATTAATAACTAATAGCTGAGCTAGTGCAGAAGAGAAAGATGCCTTCTGCCTTCTCTAGCACATTCGCCAGAGCTTCCTTAATTGACCCCCACAAGTGCCTTATGAATTGGGAAGTAGTTACACCTCTTCTCCCTGGGAAACCTGAGATTTTTACCCAGAGACTGCATTGCTAGATCATACTTTGTGACTGTCATCTCATTTTTGAAAGTCCCTTGCTTATTCCAGTGACATTCATACGCTTTATGCTGATGAGCAGTTACTCTGTATTTTGATGGTGCCGTTACCTTTCCTAAAGGCTAATTTGCTTGAATGTCCCATTACCTGCAAATTGGATAGGTACGATCAATATTTGTGATTCCAGGAACGTCTGGCTGGTGCAGAAGTGCCTGGAGGGGACAGCACGTCCCAAAAGCAGGAGGTGAGATTGAAAGATGATGGGAGAGGGAGGCTGAATGTGCCACGTGTTGTTATTAGACCAGTGAGTCCTTCCTGTGTATGGAGCTGGATTGCAGCCCGAAACAGGGCCAGGCTTTTGGAACACCAGATTTTGCCAGTAAGAGATTATATCTGTGCGTATTAAACTTGAGCCTCCCAGCTATCTTAAGAGCTAAGGAAATGTTTCTTATCGCTGGGGGGTAAATGGCATAGAGGGTTGTTAACAGAGAGAGCGGAGCAGTTCTGACATCCTCACTTCCTGCTTTCACTCTTAGCCCACCTTGCATCTATCATTTGTGGTCCTCTGCTAAACTTTTCATGAAAGGACATTGCCCAGCAAGAAACACTGAAGGTGTAGGCAATGCACGAAGAGGAAAGGGCTTCCTGAGAGTCACTGAGAGCCCACGAAGGTGTTATCTGATGAAGTGCCTGGGAAGATCGTTCATTTCAACGTAGTCACTAAGAACAGGAAAGGAAGATGTATGGAGTTACCAAGGAAATTACAAGTCATTGTGTGTTATCATATGACTCATTCAGTGCCCATAGCTCACCCCTGGCCTGCAAGGTTGTGGATTAAAGTCCTACACTGGGACTTGGGATCATTTCTCTTAAAATGAGAAAGATGCATGGACCTTAAAATATATCATAGCCTGTCAGCTAAAATTGGAGTAGAAGGATCTCTTTGGTCTTGACAGCCATGAGGACGGGGTCCAAGAAGGGGTGGTTTGACCATATCAGAACCTGTACTATTAAGGATTTGAATGATGAGAAAGGCCTGGCTTTCTGGTGTAGATGCTGGAAGCCCTGATGTGAGAATCACAGTAAGTCAGCTGCTGGGGCAAGATCATCAGAGGCTTAATTGAGGCACATTGCACTAATGTTGGCTTCTGTTCAGTAGCTAGATGTCCATCTCTAGGATCATGGAGGTCATCAACAAAGATCCCATAGGGCAACAGGGCAGTATCTGCCCTACCGTCTTCCATCCTGTACCTCCTGCTTTCCATAGGGACTGCCTCTTCCAGATCTCTGCTGCAGTTCTCTTGATGACTGGGCTGACCACAGCAGTACCAAGTACTGGAGATACAGGATGTCTCCAGAGGAATCCAGCACTGGATCTCCCAGAAGAACTTTGCACAGATCAATGACCTGTGCTAGAGCTTTCCCGGGTAGAAAGCCTGGCTGTGGCACCTTTACTTTTCCTGTTTCATAGGCTTGGGCAGATAGCACACCTCCTGCCCAGCACTGCCAGCCAGGCACCAAAAGTAGGACTGACAGGCCGAAACCTACCTGATGACCTACCTAATGACCAGAGGTGGAAGAGCCTGGGGTGGCAGGCTTTGACTACAGCTGTTCTGGACAGCCAAGGCTATGCACTTGGGCGCATGTGGCTTTATTTGTGGCCAAACCTCTCTCTTGCTTTCCATTTTGCTGTGGCCATAGAGGTCAGTGGTAAAGGTCATGCAGTGTTCCTTTATATGAGGCAACATGTTGGACCTGTGAAGTAGAGGTGAGTCTGGATCTAGCCGTGTTCAGAAAAGCCCTTGCTAGAGGTGCTGAAGGACTTTTAGGATAGGTTTTGTGCCCTGTGCCTTATTGATGCTCCTGCGGTGGTCCAGAAGGACCTACAGGCTTCTTGTGTGACTGGAGAGATGGCAGCTCTACCTAAGGTGTACTCACTGATGTCGCCTTCAGGAGCAGTGTAGCAGGACAGCGTAGACACTGAACACAGAGGGGGAGACTTGTATCAGTGGCTTTGCCCTGGCAGCAAATTGTCTGTTCTGAGAGGACTGAGGATGAGACAGTAAGGTTATATCTCACTGGAACTATGCTGAAGATAGTAGATGATCTCACACAGTGATCCTTGCACCAAGACCAAAACGGCAGAAGGAACTGAAAGAAAATTCAGGCTAGTTGGAGGGATTTGAGTGGTAAAGAGGGAGCACATCTGTGATGGGAGGCTACTTAGGGCTTCACGTCCTCCATTGCTGATGTCTGAAAGTAGGTGAGATGATCCTCATCCTTAGTGCCAGTCCTAAACCGTCAGATACCTAATTTGATCATGGGTGTGCAACTCAAACCATTGGAGAAAATCTTTAGTGCAACATGCTCCTGACTACATTGAAATGGTGAAAGATCATAGCTGCTGTTTGAAGAATAAGATCTAGTGCATCTCAACCTAAATATTTTAGAACTAAGGGTGTTGTTAAAATACAGATATAAATGAACTCTGTATGCTCACACAGGAGATGGCGGGAGGTTCTCCTGGCTTCTAGCCTGGTGCTTTGCTCACTAGAAGTAACTTTGTACGTGGTGAAGAGCGTACCAGTGCCAGTAAGGAGCTGGCTCTATTGCACCATATTCAAAGAATAAAATAACCACCTTTTATTCCGCTAATGCATTTATGGGGTAAATGGGAGAGGAGCTTAAGTTAAATTCTAAATGTGACTTGACAAGACACAGCCTGCAGATACATGTCAGTCAGTCTGCGGTGCATGTCGCTGTCAGCCCGTGAGCCATGTCATCAGTGATGAATGCTAACTAACGAGTTACTGTCTAGTTGTCATGGAAAGCTTGAACCCTGGAAAAAAATTAAGAATTAACTGGCTTCAAGCTGCTTTCAGAAGTGGTGAGAAATCTAATTCTTGCCTGATGATTGTTTGCGTTTGGGAGCAGAGATGGAGGACTTCCACACCAAAATTGCCTGGCCTGTATGTCTCGTGTTGATCTGTCCTGCTGCAGTGTGTTGATAACTTTACAGGTCTGGAGACTGAAAGCCTCAGTCCCAACGCGTAGGAGAGTTGTAGTCTGGTATGTCCTGCCTATGTTGCCATGCTGGTCAGCCCTGGGAGGACCTGCCTCTCCAGTGGGCCCTGCAGCTACAATACAAAAAAATGGGGAAGTTCTCTACAAATTCAGAGGTTAAATCTCTTTCAGAAGTCCTGGCAGCTGCTGGGCTGGTTGCAGATGATCAGGCTGTCTTCAGTGGTGATCTCATACGAATTGTCTGGTTCTCAGGAACGGAGGTTTGCCTGAACTTCACGCAGCAGTCAAATGCTTTTCTTCCAGAACCCCACATAATTAATGCAATTGAAATTTATTTTTAAATGCTGAGGTTGGTGTTTCATCTTGTGAGGGCAGAAAGAGGCAAAGAAAGACTAGCTGTCTCTCATAGCCAATGTGGGTGCAAGAGATGCCTTTTCAAGGGTGGCTTCCATTAGCTGCATCAATGTAGAGGGACCACTCAAGTGAATGCTGTAAATTGTAGGGCAGAAACCTCCCGAGTGAATAGGGCCCTTCCAGCCCCCTGCCTTTTGTCGTGCTTCATACTGAAATGCTATGTGCTTCTTGTCTTGGTAGGATGGCACCTTTATTAAAGGAGGCTTCCCAAAAGCAGAAGTAACAGCATAACCTAGTTTTGCATCCCTTAACCTGAAGAGTATTACAAGAATCTTCCTTTTTGCAGGGACAGGGATGGCCTTGGAGCCAAGGTCTGGCTCTGACTGTGCCTTTACTGTGGCTGGAGACAGTTTCCAGCACTGATCCAGACCCACAAAGTTATGGGGACATAACTGATTCCCATGGTGGACTGGGAATATGACTCTTGCTAAGAGCCTGTTCTGTGCAGATCTTCTTGGGAGGGCTGTGTTTCCCTACAGTGTCACCCCTGCCTCAAGTGCCTCCCACATCTAATTGGTTTGAGAATATGCTGGTGTGGTTGTATTTGTTGAAATGTTCAACTATGGTTGTTGGTTTAACTTTCCTTTGCTAGCTGGCAATGTTTGAGGAGGGCTTTCTGAGCACTGTCTCCCTTCTCAGTCTCTGAAGGACTTCAGTTACTCATGTTCTACCTCTGCCTTATTTTTGTTCTAATTTGTAACAGTGTGGTGAAGATCCTGCTCGCAGCTAACGCAGATCCAAACCTTGGAGATGATTTCAGCAGCGTGTACGAGACTGCCAAGGAAAAAGGCCTCCATTCTTTAGAAGGTAGTATTGATTGTGTGCAGTTACCTGCATTTGCTTTTCAGGTCCCAAAATTTTGCTTCCTGGCTTTGAAATGGAAATTTGACCTCGTTTGGTTTTTTTTTAGAGCTAGCTTCAGCTTCCATTTAAATGCAGAGTAACTGATGGTATGTGGGTGAGCATATGTCTGAAGATGAGCGAAAACATTATGTAGATGTTTGTGAGAAGCAATCCTTCAACGTCCTAGAGATAACCTGTTTTTATATAGCCAGAACATAACACAAAGTTGTAGATAGGAGCGTCATCCCATTGACCCACATGCAGCCACTTGCTGGGGAAGCAGAAGGGTTCAAGGCAGTGTATTCCACCAGTAGCCTTACTCTAGATCTTATAAGTAGATATAAAATGAAGAAAGACTTGTCCAATTGAAATAAAGCTGAATGACATAACTGGTTGCTGTTACTGCTGCTGGTTTTCGGGCAGGCATTAACGCTAGCTTTCAGCCCTTGAAGTCTACGTGAAAACAAGGAAATTTTCTGCAGCATCATTTCATCTTGTTATGATTTTCCATGGCCCATGTCTCAAGTTTCTGAGCGCTGTCTCCCTTCTCAGTCTCTGAAGGACTTCAGTTACTCATTTTCTACCTCTGCCGTATTTTTGTTCTAATTTGTAACAGTGTGGTGAAGATCCTGCTCACAGCTATCCCCATTGCTGGGATGTTGATGCAGACTTAGAATCATACAACAGTTTGGGTTGGAAGGGACCTTTAAAGGTCATTTAGTCCAACCCCCCCGCAATGAGCAGAGACCTACTCTGTCTATTCAGACCAATTTAAATTTTCCAGACTGTTTCCACTTTTTATGACAACAAATGGTGGTTAAATTTTCTTGGGTTTGTGATTATCAATGGAATCTGGGGGGGGGATGTCTGGATTCCTGCTGCTTGGCTGTGCTTCGAAGAGGCCAGCTGCACGTTTCAAGGATGCTTCTGGTCCGCAGGCTTACAGCTCCCAGGCTGGCAGGAACGCTGGCAGGACCTGACTCTGCTAAAATGTCCCTGGCTGTTGCTTTCCCTGTTTCAGAAGCCTTTTCCCCATCCAAGCACCTCGCTGACCCGCTGGCCTTGGCTCTGAGCTGGCAGTGTCCCAGCCATCCCCAACAACCTGCCAGAGCTCAGCCAGCTGCCGAGACTTGCGTTCCCAGGGACTGCTGCATCCGCAGTGACTGCATTTGTGTGCTCTAACCTTCTCCTTTGAAGTTAAACCTTTTCCTAGCTGCTGTAAGGAGAAAATTGGAGGAAGCCACACAGGTTGTCCAGAGCCTCTCTTTGCCCTGCATGGTTTGCAGAGCCTAAATCAGACAGTGATATTATCCATTGGTCTGTCTGTGCTTTTTGCCTCACCGCTAAAAGCTATGTAAAGTCTAATGAAGGTGTAATATTTGAACCTTTCATAAAACACAGGTTGAGTTAAGAAGATGAATCAGTGAGGGGACAGTTTTGACAGGGCGTTATTTTATTTTTAAAAGCTCTCCTCTCTCATCCCTCACTTTAACCCACCCGTGCAATAGACCTGCTTCTTGATGGAAGTGAGAACACGCATATATCAGATTGCTGTAGCAGTGAATGCAAAATGTATGAAACAACATTAAAAAATGAACAATGGAATGCCAATACATAATGCATGTACATAGACTTTATTTAAGACAAAGTATATCAACCAATAAAGTTAATTGTTTTTGTCTGCATTCATCCCTCTATAATGTTATATATTTTTGGGGTGAAGAAAAGATAAGGCCACTCAGGAAGAAGTTGCATTAATTCTTTGGTTGACATGTTTTATTAAAAAGAATAAATTCAGTTGCATTTTTAAAAAGAGAGGGAGAGAGAGAAACTGCCTTTGTTTTTTACTTTTTTTTTACACATTTACATATTTTGTGTATAAATATTTTTTCATAAAAACATCCAAATCGAGAGGGTATGCTCCACAAACACTGCACAAAATATATTACAGACATTTATATGGATGGCAGGAAGGGAGACAGAGGGCTGAAAATTTCCAGGCACCCAGTGATTGATGGTAGACGAGGCTTCCCCTGACGCTTTATTGAGTTTCCGATGATTATCTCTCTCTGAGACATTTTTTACAGATGACGGCCAAGCTGTCACAACGGACCATGGGGGAAAAAACCCAACAATAATAACACTTTAATCTCTTTACTGCACTGCTCCCTAGTATCTCAGATTCATCTTCCCTGACGCACGCAGTTCATTATCCTGCTCCTCCCTGGGTAGGAAATGACGACAAATAAATAAATATACATACTCACCCTGTATGCTTGGAGAAAAGACCCAGGAAAGGAAAGGAGCCAGGGCATTAATTGATCTTCCTGGAGGTACTGCGGTTCATTAGCAGAGATGCTGGGCTAGGACGGCATCAGGTATTCATTACAGTGTTTTTCTCTTCTGAACTTTTCAAATCTTTTGGAAATCTGTCGGTAGCTCTCAGGAGGGAACGTGGAGACTGCCCTGCGGGGGATCCACAATCCAGGTCTGCTTGCTTTGCTGTGAGAAAGTATTAGGTGCTCAGAGCCCTTTCAAGTTCTCGATGGCAAAGTCCTTGAATTTTGGTGATATACCCATTCACCAAGGAGCTGAATGCACTTCCAGGAGCAGAATTTAGCTCACCAACTGGGTGATGTTCATTCAACAGGAGACAGCACATGCCAGCCCCACCGTCACTTAGGCTCCATGGTGAGGCTGTGTGCTTATGGGGCTTCCTCATCTCCCAAAGCTGGGGAGAAGGGTTGTGGCCAGGCCTGGCCCTATTGCCTGCCCCCCACCTCCACCAGCTGAGTGAGAGGTTAGTCTCCATTAACTCTGGAATGGGTGCGACAGCCTCACTTTCCTCAAAAATCAGATATAAAGTGCAGTGCCTGTCAAAACCCACAGCCCTGAGTGATAGCATCTGCTTGTTGATAAAAGAGTCAGTGAAGGTGGTGAATGCTGAAATGAGAGAGGGATCTGCCCTCCCTGCAGACATGAGAGTGGTGCTCATATCGGATTCTCGACTATGGAATACGTGACCTCTTTGGTGGCTGTGATCGTCCATCTGGCCAGGCTTTAGATCAGGCTTCTCTCTGGTGTGCTGAATGCTCTCAGGGCTGATGTTGTGAAGATGCTGTCTCTGCTCCCATAGGCGTCCCTTCCTGGCTAATCAGCAGCCTGGTATTTCCTTCAATACCTAAGAAGAGCCACTCTTTTTTCCACTGTTCATTTTTGCTGGTGACCAGAGCAAAGGGCTTAAGGGTTTTCTAAAGCCTGACCCTTAGACCAGCTGCAGAAGAGTGCTGCTGCTGCAGACCCTTCCCGTGGACCCGGGTAGGATTCTGGGCCCATGGGTGCTGGAGCCTTGCCCAGACACACGGGCTGGTCTGCTGGAGAGTCCCAGAATTAGGAATTTGCTTGAAGGCCAGGCGATGGTGGGGCAGCATCCTCTCCTCTACAGCTTCTCTTCTGTTTGCCGAAATCACCACTGCCTTGTAGTAATCACTCTGAGTATCAGGAGGGAGTTTCTCCTGGCTTGGGAGAATATTTCTTCCCATTGTAGAAACAGCATCTAAAAATAGGTCTTTGATTAGCACCAGAGCATCAACAGTGGAGGCACTTTCGCCTCTCCCACTGCGTGTCTGAGTCTAAGCTTGCATGTAAATTTTGCAGGTGTTGTTAAGTCTGTGCTTGGGGACAGGTCGGACCTGCGCTTAGCAGAGAGGAGCGATGCCTTTCAGTGCCGCCTCACAGGGGTCCTGTGCCGGTGCAGTAACAGCCCAGCCACATCTGCTAGCCATGATGCATTGCCTGAGAGTCAGCTGGGTTTGTGTTCGAATCTGCCACTTCACCAGCTCCTACCTGCACGTGTTGTGGAAAGGGGACAGATCTACCCAGAGCTGGGCTTGGAGCTGGTGTGGTGCTGGCTCCCCTGCAGAGAGCCTTTGCCTCTGTACATGTTTGGTTTAATGCATTCTGTGATCTTCCAGCTTTGCAGTCCAAACTCTGATTTTGCACCTGATCTGGAAGATTTAAGTGTTTCCGTGTGTCTGTCTCACCACACAGTCCTTCTCCTGTCCTCCCGGGAATGCCTTGGCCCAGCTTTGCTCTGGCCTGGAAACACAAGTCATTGGGCTTTTCCTTTGCAGGGTATCCATGCACATTGGCATTCAGTAGAACAGAGCTCAAAGGAAGAAAATACTATAATTAATCAGCTTTAGCAAGCATCAGTTTCTGTTCAAAGAAACATCACAATTTCTAGGTCTGATTTCACAAAACCTGCCGAGGCTCGGTCTAATTGCATTTGCTCAGGGGATTCCAGGATTTCTAGTGAGTTGTAAAATGCGTTATTATGAATTATTCCCATCCCGGTAGCATCGAGGAATACACCTCACGGAGCACACTGTGCTGGTGACTAGGCAAACACAGGATAAAATCTCAAAAGTCCCAAAGAACAGCTGGTTTTGACATAGAACTGAAGATGGCAAGCAGGTAGCTATGGACAGGAGCAGAACTGAGTTGAGTATTGTGCTCTGCAGCACTTTAACCCGTATTACCTTTCAGTTAACAAAGGAAGTATTTTTAGAAGAGTTCCTGCTTTTAAATGGCTACTTCTTGATGTTTCTGGGAAGTGTAGAGTAGAGGAGGCAGCTCCTGGCGGAGATGAGCACATGAGCAATCGGAGCGATGTGATACGGGAAGCTTAACATGACTCTGAGGAGTTCCAGTGGGCATTCCCAGCTCACTGCTGTCCCGAGGACCTGTAGCGCTGTCGTCCCTCAGCCTCTCTGGCTCTTTTCTCTTGGTTATGGCTTGTAGGTTTTGGTGCTCTGCGCTTCCAGCCTGAAGTAGGCGCAGCCTGCTGGGATCATGTTTTGGCTGGGGGAGTAAGGTGGTGTGGAGGAAGCATTGAATGGTTGTTCTGTGGCCCTTCTGGACAGTAAAAGAGGGAAAAAAAGGCAGAAGTCTCTGTGTTGCTTGCTTGCATTGAATCCTGATTTCACTTTGAAGGTACAAAGAGGCTGTGGTTGGAACAAGGCTGAGAGGTCTTCTCTCAGGCTTTCTCCAACCACCTCCTCCCCTGCCTGGGCACTGTGAAGACAGTCACTGGGATTTGTGGAAACCATGTTGTCTTCATCTCCACTGCTGCTCAGAGGAGTGGGGAGATTAAGCAGCAGAAACCCCCACCAGGGTCCCAGCTGTCTCATGGAAAAGGCCATTAGGCCCTTAATAAGCTTCCAGACCAGTGGTGGTGGTCCATGCTGCTGGTGCACGTTCAGACAAGCAGTTCTTCACTTTGTCTCAGTGAGCTGAGCTTTCATTCTTCTTCCCCTGCAGTCCTTGTAACCCGGGAGGATGACTTCAACAACCGCTTGAACATCCGAGCCAATTTCAAGGGCTGCACAGCTCTACACTACGCAGTATTGGCTGATGACTACCTGACGGTCAAATTGCTGCTGGATGGAGGTGAGTTTCGTAGCTCCAACTGGCTCTTGGGCCAGGAGCACTTTTTCTGAGTAGGCCTGTTCCACAGAACTGTCAGGCTCGGACACGGACCACACTCTTTCATTGTCAGGATTAGATGTGATTTACTGTTTGCTTTAATCTCTTTATTTTTTATTTTCTGTGTTCCCATTCATCTCCAATGGTTTTTCTCATGTACTTCTGGTAGCTGTTCTCAGTCATTGAGTGTTTCCTGCAGTTCAGCAGAGATGCATCCCCTGGTCTCTCTGTTCAGTATTTTGAACATTTCCCTTTCACAATTTGCACTCTACTCATCTGTCATATCCCTTATGTACCTGTGTGGTGTGGAATCGAAGAGCCCCTGCTTTACTGGGAATGGATCTGCTCTGTAGACAAGGCACTGGATAGGTACCGGTACCCACATTAAATGGTTGAGGCTCAGGTATTGTTGGTACCTTGGCAATGCAGCTCTTGTGAGAATTGGTAGAAATGAGCTTGTGCAGTTATTGGTCCTCCTGGATAAATCACAAACCCCTTTTTCTCATGAATCCTGCTTTACTGTCATCTCTTACGTACTCACGGCTCCAGATTACAGATCCATAGAGATACTTACAGTTGGACTCGATGATCTTAAGGGTCTTTTCCAACTTAAATGATTCTGTGATACTAAAGAGGTGAAAAATTGTAGAATTATTGCAGAGTTCAGGTTGGAAGAGACTTCAGGAGGTCTCTAGTCCAACCTCCTGTTCAAAGCAGAGTCAGCTGTGAGGCCAAACCAGGTTATTCAGGGCTTTAGCCAGCTGGGTCCTGAAAATGTCCAAGGATGCACACTGCCCAACCTCTCTGGGCAACCTGCTGCAATGCTTGACTATCTTTGTGGGGAAAAAGCTCATCAGCACTAGTGGAGGAGAAGAAGAAGATGCATTTAGCTAACAGAATAGACATGTACTACCATGACAACAGTTTTTTATTTTTATCGTCCTGCTGATGTTTACCAGGATGACATTTGCGTCTCTGTTATGCTGTTACCCAGAACCGGAGTCTGCTGAATGTGTATCTACATCTGCATGGTGCTGTTAAAATAGCTGCATCTGCCCACGATGCAAATCGTTCTGCAAACCGCAGAGCTAGTCAGTAAAGTTCTGCTTTCCTTCAGATTTGTGTCCTTTGTCCCTAGCATTCCTCCTACTACAACAATTTCAACTCCTCTCCCCCCTGCAGGGTCACCTAGGGCACCTTTGAATGACCAAGAAGCAGCGATGTTGTCCCTGCTTTCAAGTGTGTGCTTGGCAGCAGCCTTCTGCCAAATGCAGCCTATAGCAGCTGAAGGCTGTCAGCCTGTCCCTGCAGTGGAGAGACTCTCTAGCGTCTCTCTAGCCAGATGCCAATTTCTGCAGAAATTTTAGGAATGTCATAATCTTCATGGGGTGGGCACCTCAGGAGTTCAGGAGTTAATTCTAGGGAAGCAGGCAGGCAGATAATTGTACAACGGGCTCACATAAGGCTCATTCCTTAAGAAAGCAACTAAAAAGGTAATGGAAAGTAGCATCCATGAAGGCTAAACCTCCCCAGAAGAGATGAAGAAAAATAATTGTAGGAACATTGAACCTTGATACTCATACGTACCATATGCTTGTTATCTTTCACAAATAGAAAAATAAGAGTGAAAGGTTGAGATTCAATACCACTGAATTCCACAGTTAACTGTGAGTCAGGATTTCTCTGGGAGCCTGCCAGATACCAGAACCCTATCTCTTGGCCATAAATTTAACCCCCCAAAAAATAAGCCACTGAAAGAAAACCTATTCCAAATGGATTTAGCCAAGGTTCCTCAGGAATGCTTGCAGAGAAGGGAGCTGAAAAAGCAGACAGCTGCTCTGTAGGTTGTGGGAGTATGTGCGTGTGGTGACTGGGAAGTCCTCAGACAAAAATATTGCCCCATGTGTGGTCCAACGCATTTGTCTGGTGTGGCAGACCTGCTTCATGTTTGCAGCATATGTAGACACTGCATGAACACTGAATCTGGCACTTTCTCAGTGCATCTGACTTGCTGCACATCTGCTGCACAGTCCCAACTGCATGTCTGCAGCGGTTGCTTGTCCAAGAGATCTGGTGGTCAGAAGAAACTGCTCCAACAGGACCTCTGAGATCCCACAGTTGTGGACAGGGATGCCTATGGGAGGAGTGGAGTGGGCTTCACCCTCTTGAGTGATGAGCTGTGAATGCACAGACCAGGAAGGGCTTTGATGGTGAGTGCAACGAGCAAGAGAGCCTCTGTGGTGTTAGGGAGAGAGGTAACGTGGTCGAAGTGCTGGCATGGAGAAGTCCTCATCACAGCAGGGTTGTGAACAGATCTGAGCAGGGTGAGTCTGTGCCTCTTGAGGCTGGGGAGTATTTCACGTGTGGGATGGTGTGAATGTCAACAGCAGTGTTTGCTCTTTAAAAATGCCTAAAATCCTGGTGTGGACTAGCTGCGAGGGCAAAGGGGCAGTCCTCTGTGAAGGTGGTACAGAGGCACAGCCAGCGTCAGCAGGGACATACATACGCTGTAGTCATGAGAGAAGGCAATGGCAGAGCTGCCAGCAAGAGGCTGAGAGCTCTTTCTCAGTCTGTTGAGTTTGGGCTGGCAGCCGCACCCCCCATACCCTCTGGAATAACATTTTTTACAAAGATACCTGCTTCTCATTTTTGCCTTTGAAAGTCTCCTTGCAAAACATGTGTATTACTAGCTGATTGAAAGTACCGAGGTAGCTGCTTGGTTATCCTAAGTACAGGTAAAATATGTGTGCAAATAAATGAAGTTGGCACGGAAGAATTTCACTGTACTGAATAAATAATTGCAAGTAGCAAGTCCAGCTCATTTCTACATCTGTCCCCTGCTCAGCTATCTGAGTGCTGTTACAATGCAGGCCTCTTTTAATAGAGAGGACTGTTCTTTTTGTTCAAAAGCCGTTTCTGTATCTGTCCTGGAGCCACTGCTGTCTTCGTGAATGACCGCTTCTGCTGCTCGATGCTCATAGAGAGTTCTTTGTTCGTGGCAAAGTGTCTCAGTTCAGAAGAACTCACTTGGATCTCAGAAAAAAGCGTATAACAATCTGTAGGACTGTGTTTGTTTGAGCACAACTGAAGGGATTGTGTACCAAATCAAAGTGAAAAGTCTGAATTTAGTCAGCCATAGCACTAAAATGTGACGATCGCTCATCACCATTCTGTTCTTAATCCATCCCCATGGAAATCCTTCTGGATACAGATTCAAGAGAGTCCACACTAAGAATGCATTTCCAAGTGAAATTTTTTGTCTTGTGAAGGTATGAGCATGTCCCAGTGTTTATACCCTGGGAACAGCAGTCCAGCAACATGAATCGCACTTGGTGCATGATGCAGAAGTCCTTGTAGGATCCCGGGGCTGAGTTTGCAATGTTCTTCAGATTAATCTGTATTCGCCAGCCCATCCACAACATCCTCTTACCCTTTGCGGTCATAGTTATGATGAAAATTTATCACAATTTACTTGCTAAATCAAATACATGTCTGCTTTTTGTCAGGTGAATTCTTCTGAGCTGGTAGTGTTACAGCAGACCCTTCCCTTTCCTTTCAGTGAGTTTTGCATGCTGGAGTTCGATTTCACGATTGGTGCCTGACACGAGGTTTTCATTGCATTGACTGGGGGTGTTCCCCTCCTCCCAGTTCTGCGCGATAACAAAGCGTTGGTCCCTGCATCCTTGTTAGTATAATCTGCGATGAATACATGGCTGAAGGTCTCAGAAGTGGAGATCGAACACCTTTCAAAGTGTGCCTGCCCCGGGCCCTTTGTGAGGATAATTTCCCCATGCGGTCTGCCATTGATATCCGCGCGTAGGATGTCTCCTGTTTGCTGACATGGAACAGGCTCCCCTCGCTCCCTCCCTTACCCTTCCCTACACCTGCCTTTTTACTAACTGTCCATTTACTCTCCCGAACACTTCCTTCGCTTGGTGCCCTGCCCTCGGGGCCAAAGCCATTAACTGCCAAGGCCCCTCTCTGCTAAAACAACTACCCCGTTGTGCAGCACTGGTGTTTTTTTTAAGGGAAGCTCCCGTGCACTTGCCCCTCACCCCACATCCCTGGCCTTTTGTGGCCCATTCAGTGACTCGCTTGACCCCTCCAGGACCTTATCGCCTTGTGGTCAGCATGTGTGTGCCCAGCAGACCGCGAGACGAAGTCACTGCTCTGTTGTCCTTTCGGGACAGTTGTTGGTGACATTTCACAGTCTCCTGACCTGAGCTGACACCATAAATATCGGTGTTTATGGGAAGGAGTGGGTGGGAGCTCACATCCACAGAGTGCACCAGTTGCTACTGCAGGCACGATCGATGCAGAGGGCTTTGTGTTTGGCTTGGAGGAAGGAAGGCAGGGTCTCCAGCTCGTTGATGATGGAAGTCTCTTCATTTTAGAGGGAGCTTTTATTATGTCAGTATTTAAATCTGCTGCATGAAATTGCCAGTATTAAAAGGTTCAGCTTTCTGCAGGCAATAGGGTAGCCTTGCCATAGAGCTCAGGTGCCTTCTAGCACCCTTCTAAGTCTGATTCTGCTCCAGAACCTGCTGCTGAAAGGCAGGTAGCCAGAGGAGCTCAGGCAGGCACTGATCCGTGGGGAACCAGGACCGGAGCTCAGCTCCTGTGACCCCCAGTGTCTGGAAGCACAGTGGGTGTATTCCTGCCCTCCATCCTCCTCTTAGCTCTGGACATTTGCTGATAGTCAAACTAAACCTTCCTGATGGCTCACGTTGCTACCAGCCCTCTTGCCCTCCAGCAAGTCTCTACAGGAGACTTGAAGGAGCTTAGAAACCTGACCAGGCTGGAGAGGTTCACCAGAAGTTGTTTGTCCCTCTGCATCTCTTGAGTGGCCCCTCCTTTATTAAACCAAGCACAGTCTGCTTGCCTTCATTGTAAAGGCCCTTTGCAGCCTGTCCCAGCCCTGTGCATCACGCTGTCATTTGCTATTGAGAGATCACGCTGCTGAC